CGACCTTAAACTTACAAAATCGAACGGAAGTCATCAACAAGACCTATGCCTGGCATGTGAGCTCGAAGAAGGCAACTCAGACAGAAGTCCCAATGGAAAAACGGCATCGGCCGTAAGGCCTAAGACGGCTCTTCCAACTGTGTCATCAGCGTGTTGCCACACCCCTATCCGAACGCTCCTTAGAATGATGTGAACGACTTCTCTTCCAACCCCCCTCTTCCCCTTCGGGGAGGGGTCTACCACTGTTCCCTGACAATATACACCACCTCCCCCAGGCGACCGGCGTCCAACCAGGAACTATGAGGACACCATGAGGGCCCGCCCCCCCCCATCCCTGTCAAAAAACCATACAAACCGCATGATGTATCCACATGTGGAGCATGCGCGGCCAACCCGATGCGACCCCCCCACCACCCCTGTCAAAAAACAATGCACAGTACACGTTGGGGCAAAGTCTTGAGTCATGTTGGTGACGCCCGCGAACACTTTGTATGTATTGTTTTTGACAGGGACGGCGGGGGTGCCAGCATATTCCCTGCCGTGCGCAGTCTGGATCATGCGCGCCCATCCCGCGATCACTGTCAAATGGTTTTTGACAGGGACGGCGGAGGTGGTGGCGCGTGGCCTGCTGTGCGCAGGCCCACCAGACACAATGATGCGCATTCGTTTTCGACAAGGATGGCGGGGGCCGACATGTTTCCCGATGTGTGCTGTCACGAGCGCAGGCGCACCTGACGCAATCTGCACGTGCCCCGAACATGGCACACCTGGCGCGGCTAGAGTGTGCAGCACACCAGGCGCACTCGGAGCACGTGGCGCATCTGGCGGACCAGGCATGCCTGGCACGCTCGGGTTCCAGTGGTGCCTGGCGAGCGTGGCGCCCATGGCAAGCGTGGCGCACCTCGCCCAAGCGTCGCGCACCTGGGGTCGGCTTTGGTTCCCAGTAGCTGTCCATCCAAAGACGACCTCTGAACGTGCTCAAGCTCGGGTGTGACTTATGTGTTGTGAGGGCGGGTGGGGCTAGAAGGCTTGTTGGCGGGTGGGTAGCTTGACCCCTCCCCTATCCCCTCCCCTGGGCATATTTTGTGGATGGGCTGGTGGGGATACTTTTTTGATCTGCGGCCAGCAAGGAAGAGTCCAGAGGGCGTGTCAACAGCTGGTGAGGATACGCGTAGCGTCAAGAATTCAACTTACGATGTCGAATGGGGAACGTCGGCAAGAATCTGGCGGATATGGCAACGAAGCTCGGCAACTCGGACAGAAATCACAGTGACGAAAACGAACTCGGCCGACAGCTTCTCCGTCTGTGTTAGCATCGTGGCCACGCCCAAGCTGAACACAATCCTTGGGCGATCCTAGCGGCCTCTGGGCCATTTCGGAGGCCCCAGCGGCAGACCCAAGAGGCCAACATCGATGGTATTGTCAGGACGTGCTGTTGGTTGTCAGGACCCAAGAGGCCAAAATCTCAATGGCTCGGTCTTCAGCGCGCCCAGGACGGCCCAAGAAACATCCAATATCGCCCCAGGACCGCCCCGAAGGCCCAAAGAGGGGCCCGACAGGACCTCAGAACGGCCCCACGAGGGCCCAAGAGGTGAAAATCCAAATGAGGCAATCGCTTGAGCGCCGCGCACAATCGTAAAAATACAGGAATGCACGGCGATCCGTTTTCGAAACGGGGCTTTCGATTGAGACCTCCTGGAAGGTAAAACCAGAGGTGCAACCTGTTGCAAAACCCACACGGATGGACCGGCTCCTTTTCAAAACTGGGCTCTCGCTTGGGACATCCGAATGACTCCTGACGATGACTATAACCATAACGAACATCACCACAGATGCAGGACGGCTCTTGAATTTCATGGACCATACCCACCGGTCGGAAGAAGTAGGTAGGAACATGAAGTAGGAAGGCGTTGAAGTAGATTGGGTGTCCGCCCGCCCCCTGAAGAAGATCGAGAAGGTGAAGCCACTCGATCCTCGAAGTAAGAAGGTGCCCAAAGTAGGTCGGAGTCTGGGAATCAACAAACGCCCACTTTCACCGACCGATGGGCAACACGATGCAGGACAGCTCCCGTCTCAAACGGGGCGTTCGCCGCACGGGCAGGCCGGTGAGGTGCGCTCGTCTTTCAAGGGGGGCGCCTCCCACCGTGAGAAGGAACGCGCGCAGGGATCCGTGGGGAGTGGCAATGGGACGGACGGGTGTATTGAAACATGCTTGCTGCGACCCGGGGAGCTCTGGTCTTTGTGTCCCTCTCCCTCTGGAACCCCCGACGCCCTGGCACTCAATTAGAGCCCACTAGAACGAGTAGAGGATTTCTGGGACATGCTCCTGCTGCTCCCCCACACACACACCCTCCTACACCTCTTCCTCCGAATTATGCCCCTGCTCCTACTCCCTCTTGAACCCCCGAACCCCTAGGAACAATGAAACCAACTTCCGTGATATGAGGAATGTCTGGAACCTGTTCCTGCTCCTGTCCTCCGATAAGTTGCACCTCGTCCTTCTCCTCCAAACCCCTCGCGTCATCAACATCCCCCTCATCACTCCCGAACTGTCCAGCCTCGTAGGATCCCCCGACAGACCCCCAGCGCCTCCCGGTCCTCATGTTCATCCCCGTGTTCGTATATAGCTGCTCCACCTCGTCGCATCACCAAGAGTATCGGTGGGCGGGTTGGGCGTTTCGCCCCAGACTTCCTGGCCGCGTATGACCCTGAGGCTTGACACTTCCACAAGTTACAAAGATTGAGGGCGGGTGCTCAACATGTGGCTCTCGCCGTAGCGCCGCAAACTTTCATCTGACAAGAGTCCAGCAGTTGCAAACATGGCGGGCGGGCGGTTGTTTTGTTTCGTGTGGGTCTCGCAGCGCACATGCGTCTTCAAATCCAAGCTAATGCGAAGATGGTGAGCGACCCGTTCTCAAAATGTGCCTCCTGCCTGAGCTCCGCGCATATTCGTATGAAGCTTGTGACCTCACACGTATGCAGAGCGGCTCATGTTTCAGCATTATGCTCCCGCTTCAGGCATCCTCGCATTGTTAATCAAGCAAGGATGCAGGACGATTCCTGTTTCAAAACGGAGCGCTCGCTTGGGGCTTCATTCAACCATATGGACATACATCTACAATTGTGCAACAGTTAAAAGAGGTCGATGGCACCCTCATTGACAACGGGGCTCCCGTCGAGCACATCCTCGAACTGTATGCTCATACCTCTCCGAACCATTGAGATTCATCGACGCAGGGCCCAAATCATCTGTGAAGCGTGGCTCTCGCCTGCATTGCAGCCCCTTGGGACGCTCGTCTTGCAAGAGGGAATGTCCGGCAGTGAACAGGAATGCCTGTAGGGACTCGGTAAGGGGGGCGTTGGGACGGGATTTGGGATGGCAGCATGCTTGACGCAGTGGTTGAATATGGTTATCCTGCTCCGCATCATCCACGTCCTCATCATCCCTCCTCCTCCTCATCCTCCTCCTGGTGCTCATCCGCCCTCTTCTCCTCTTCCTTCCCTCCCACTCGAGAAACCTCCTCCCGAGGCAGTCATAAGCCAGCCATCTGAGAACCAACAACATACATCCGCCTCATGGTCGTCTTCCTCCTTCTTCTCCTCCCTCTTCCCTCCACAGCCACCTCCCAGCAAAGGTCGCCCGCCCCACACCTCCCCCGGCGTGCGACCTGGCATGAACGTCAAGAAGAACCCGGCTGTGGCAAAAAGGAGCTGGCCCGAGGCCCCGAACAGAGGACGACGATGAAGAGCCCGACGAGAAGGACTTCGAAGCTCGACTGTCCTCCTCCTCAGCATCATCCTCATCATGGTCATCGTAATAATCAGCATCTTCAGCAGCATCATCATAATAATGATCATTACCATCATCATCATCCTCAGCATCATCATCATCATCATCACCACCATCATCGTCATAATCATTATCAGCAGCAGCTTCATTATCGATATCAATAGCGCCATCATCCGAATAGCAACATCACCATCATCATCGTCCTCAACATCAGCAGCGGTATCAACATCAGCCGTTTTCGAATTGAAGTCACCGTCAGCAGGATCGTCATCAGCCGTATCGCCATCATCCTCATCCTCAACCTCATTAGCTTCGTATGGTTCCCGCTATTATTGCTAGTAGTCCTCATCGGTAGCCGCATTAGCATTGCAGTCATCACCAGCAGCATTTAGATCATCATCACCCGCATACGCCTCCTCGTCACCGCCATCGTCACCATCATCGCAAACAGAATCCACATCCTCTGCATCGACATCATCGGCATCCCCGGCATAATCATCACCAACAACAGCTCTTCAACATAACCATCATCAGCATCATCTTCCTCCTCATCCTCCTCATCATCACCGTCCTCGTCATCCTCAGCATCAGCATCAGCAGGAGCATCAGCACCAGCATCATCATCATCAGCATCATCAGCATCATCATCACCAGCATCCTCACCGTCATCATCATTATCGTCATCAGCAACATCAGCATCATCATCAGCATCTGCATCATCATCGGCAGCATCATCATCAGCAGCATCATCATCACGTAAGTCACCATGCGTATCATCATACATATCATCATCATCACAATCATCCTCATCATCATCGACATCATCATCAGCATCAGCATCATCACCGTCGTCGTCAGCCTCAGCATCATCAGCAGCATCATTAGCAACATCATCATACTTCTCACTAGCATCATCAGCAGCATCATCATCCTGCTGGTAAGCATCAGCATCATCAACACCATCATCATCCTACTGATCACCATCAGCATCATCAGCATCATCATCACAATCAGCATCATCATCATAATCATCACCATCAGCATCACCATCACCATCACGATTACCATCAGCATCACCATCATCCTCGCCATCAGCATCATCATCGTCATCACCATCATCATCCTCATCATCCTCATCAGCATCAGCATCGACATCTTCATCAGCAGCAGCAGCAGCATCAGCTGTACATCAATCCTTCCAGAGGGGTACAGCTTCTTCGGCGTCTGGAAGGCGTAGTGCAGGGTGACGATGAAGGGGTGCGACACGGCCTCCCCGCAAAAAACAACAGGAGGGGGCGGGCGGCGGGGATCGCGCGTCCCGCACAGGGGTTGCAGTAGCTGTGCTCCCTACACTGGGTCTCTTAGTAAGCGACCACTGGTGCTAGATGCTTGATGAGGCTGCCCCTGATGCGATATGCTCGTGACACGTGCTGATTGCCCAAGGGCAGCGTGCAGCATGACCAGTGATGGAAACTACTCGGGATTCTTAGTAAGCGTGGGGGGGGGGGTACCCCCCCGACGCGGGTCAAACTCGCCTCGTCGTCGCGCCTCGACGGGGGTCGGGGCGCCTGTGCCGCGCGGTGGCTGCCCGCGACGGGGGTCGACGTGTGGCTGTCGGCGAGGGTGACGCCCCCCCCGACGCTCATTGAGAATCTCGGAGTGGGGAGCTGTGGGAGTTTGGGCGAACCCGTCCCAGAAAACCCCTGGAGGGAGCTGTTTTTGATCCTGGGGGAGCGTGTCCGGCGTTCGGGGAGGGGGGGGCAAAGGGTTCGAGAAAGGCTGTCCTTGGAAAGCCCTACCGAGATGCGAGCGTGAGTGGAACATCATCTGGCGAACCCTTCCTGACCCCTCCTGGATAGAAAACCGGCTTTCAACTTCTAAACAACCCCTCCAGGAGGGGGTTGTTGTGTTTGCATGATGTACTTGACTCAAATATGTATGTACTGTATTCCGCGTATCAAACTGACATTGTGTTCCCCCGTGGAGTAAGCGCGTCGCGTTGCCGCTCAATGTGTTTGCATAGTCTGTTGCGACATGCGTTTCCACAATCGACCCACGAACCCGGAAAGGGATTCGGAACTGCGAGCCCTAAGACGCTTCCAAGGACCTCCAGTGGGCGATAAGCAAGGGCCGTCCTGGAAATACCAGGTGGCGATGCTACTAAGCCATTGCACTTGCGCGAGGCAGTACGCGCGTGGTGTAACTGCGCAGCGCGCTCCCCGCAGCGGACGGACGTCGTGTCTGTGAAGGTGCTCTTAGTCGGCATGTCGATAACTGGGCTCAAGGGGAGGGAGGGGGGGGCGGGCTCTGGCTCCTGGACCTCTGCTCAGTGCGACCGTCTGCAGCAGCGCGTCCTGTGGGGGAAGCTCCACCCGCTTGAAACAAGCGCCAAAAAAAAAGAAGATCTAGTCCATGGGGGGGGAGGGGGTGTGCGAAGACCCGTGCCGATCGGCAAAACAACGAATCAGAAAAAACGATCACTTTCCGCGCGGAGTTAGCGCGCAGAGTTTCCGCGCAGCGCTTCTGCGATTTCGCGTCACGCGGCGCCGCGGTTTCGCCCCGCGAACCCGGACAGAGGCTGGAAACTGCACAGCCTGGGGGCCCTTCCAAGCACATCACTTGGGCGATGGGCAGTGGCAATGCTGGATATATATATATATATATATATACATACACATAGTATCCAAATAGGCTTGCCCTATAGGAGTTCTAACTCAAAATGCCAAAACCCTACTGTTTGGTCCGTTGCCCCCCCTAATTCCTATTCCCCCCTAATTCCTATGGCTATGGCTATGCCTATGCCTATGCCTGTGCCTTCCCCCAAACTCCTATGCCCGCCTATGCCTATGCCTATTCTCCAAATAGGCTTGCCCCATAGGAGTCCCAATTCATCATACGTAAGTGGTCTTTAGCACCCCCCTTTTTCCGATGGCACCCCCCCTCATTTCCAATGCCCCCCCCTTCCCCCCCTTTTGCCAATGGCACCCCCCCTTATTTCCAATGACGAGTCCTATGGATTCCTATGGATGCCTATGAGTAACTTGCCCTTGCTTGCTCTTGCGCGCTCTTGCGTGCTTGCTCTTGCGTGCTTGCTATCGCTTGCTTGCTCCTGCTTGCCCTTGCTTAGTTGCACTTGATAACTGGCTCTTGCTTGCTTATGTTTGATCGCTTGTGCTTGCTTGCTTCCGCTTGCTTGCTTGCGTTTGCTTGATGTTGCTCCTCCCGTCCTCCTCCCGTCCTGCTCCCGTCCTCCTTTCGTCCTCCTCCCATCCTCCTCCTGTCCTCCTATCTGTTTGGGGTCAACGCTGGCTGATATATACATATAAATAATAAATGAAAAAAAAAACAATAAATAAATAGATGGTTCGATCGGGAATGTCCTTCTACAGGCGGATGTTTGGCGAAACGTGAAAAAATAACAAAGACCTGTTCAAAAAGATTCAAAGATAGTCGAAGAATCGTCCCCCGACTATTTTCTTACTATCTTGGAATACTCCTCCTGTAGAGGGACATACCCGACTCAAATTTATGGTGATGCTTCTGTGTCAAGGGCTGCGCCGCGCCGAGGCCAACCAACACCAATGAGGCCTCCGACCCAACCCCCAGGCAAGGTGGCGGGATGGGCCGAAGGCCACTATATAATCAACAACCCCACCCAGCAGCACCGCATTGACAACGATCACTCGGGATGGCCCCCAAGACGGCCCCGAAGCGCCCCAAGAGGGCCCCAAGTCGCCAGAACGGCCCCCAAGACGGCTCACGACGGCGTCAGACGCGCCAGGAACCCACCAAGATGGCCGAAGTCGGCTCGAAGCTGGCCCGAGACGGCCCAAGAGGCCCCCAAGAGGGCCTCCAGGAAGGCCAGAAGAAGCCACAAACATTGATGTTCCCGGTGTTTGACGTATTTTGACAGTTGCTTCTTTTCGGCCTTCCGACGGCCCGAGACGGCCCAAGAGCCATCAAAGATTTCCAACAGATCGCCCAAGAGGCCTCCAAGAGGGCCCCAAGACGGCCCCAAGAGGCCCCCAAGACGGCACAGGAGGCCTTTAAGACGCCCAAGATGTCCTCCAAGACGGCCCTGGAGCATTCCAAGAGGGCCCCAAGTCGGCCCATAGAGGCCCCCCAAACGGCTTCCGACGGCGTCAGACGGACCAGGAGCCCACCAAGACGGCCGAACATGGCCCTAAGATGGCCCAAGACGGCCCAAGAGGCCTCCACGAGGGCCTCCAGGAAGGCCCGAAACGGCAATCATTGATTTCCCAGTGGGTTGTTGAAGGATTGTGGCATTTGCCTTTTGATCTGCCTTCCGACGGCCCGAGACGGCCAGTGCCCCGAAAGATCGCCCAAGAGGCCCAAGACACGGCCCCAAGAGGCCCCCAAGACGGCCCAAGAGGTCTCCAAGACGCTCAAGATGGCCTCCAAGACGGCCCAAGAGCCCTCCAAGACGTCCTCCAAGAAGGCCCGAAAGGGTCAAAATGGCCTCCAGACGGGCAAGATGACCTTCAAAGATGCCCACGTGTTCCCCGAAGGCTTTCCAAACCGATTCGGGCAACACATGGTCCGATAGCTTGGCGGGTCTGGCCTCAACGTTCGGCCACATAGGCGCTTCAAAAAAGGCAGGCGGCGGCGGTGATTCGCCGTAGGCGTCTTCGATAATCAACAACCCCACCCAGCAGCACCGCATTGACAACGATCACTCGGGCAATTGGCAGCGCTCGAAGTGGCACTCGTCGAACGATCGGTCCGAGACACCCACGATGGCTTCCAGACGGCCCACGACGCGCACAAGATCCCCGAAGAGGCCACCTGTGGAAGGGATGGGTGTGCCTGAGAGCCTATCTGCATGTGCCCACCCCCTGGGGAACAGAGTCCGCACTAGGAGCCGGGATGCCCCACAGAGATGCGTGCGCCTTGAGGGCAGCGCACAGTGAGGTTATAGGTAGAGCTGCGGGCGTCGCCACCAGCATGGCCTGCAACATCTTCACACCGATAAGGGGCCTCCCAAGAGAGCCCCAACAGGCACACCCCGACAAACGTCAGCGGCGAGGCAAGATGGGCCGGCGAAATGAACGAAGCGATTGAGAACAGAGCAGTGTCCTTAAAGCGAAGGCGTTCACAGTCAGAAATGTTATCAGAGCATGTCGTGCAAACCAAATGATCACATACTACATAATGGTCAACCACATGATCTTATTGGAACACTTTTGGGTGGTCCAAAACACAGGTCAGGATACTCCGCCACTGCTTAAGAAGAGGTGGGGCCAACTGCGCGCCCCCCCCCCCCGGCCCTGCACCCCCGCAGGGACCCGATGGCACCCAGACGCCTTCGAGTCGCAACAGAAAACACGACGGGAGCCCCCGGGGCCCTCGCTGGGCCTCGGGGCCATCAAAAACGACTCGGGGGATGTGCAGCCGGCCCTGGAGGAAGGGTCGGGGTCTTTCGGTGGCCACGCAATGAAAAGGTCGAAACATCGCGCAGTTGGAACCAGCCCGCCTCCAGCCCTGGCGTGAAACCAAGGCCCCGGACGCCCTGGCCGCGGCGCGCGCCGAAAGACGGGGCATGGGCCTGGCTTCCTGGCCAGCTTCGACCGGGAAGCTGCAGCCCAGCCGACGAGGCAAGGACGACAATAAGACTAAGCACGCTCGAAATGGGTACGGAAACATGTGCACGATCCCCCCAGCAGCGAATGTTGTCGAAATCCAACAGCACATGTTGTCGAAATCCGACAGCGGCCGCTGTTGAGCAGGCGACTTGTTAGTCTCAATGGACACCGACCGCGGCGACACCGACAGGCAGTCCTGCCCAAACCGCATGTGAACTGCTGCCAAATTCGTCACCATCCTTGCGCACCCATTTCGATCGAACAGAGATGACAGGAGGAAGAGGAGGAGGAGGCGAGGCAGGAAGAGAGACAGCGGAGCAGGCAGCGGAGCAGCAGTGGAGCCGCGGCTGCGGCGGCTTTTCTCTCGCTGCTGGGGCCCGGGGCAGGGTGCCTCGAGCACGTTCCGCTCCGTCTTCGTGTGCTCCACCTGGAAGCGCGCCCCCAGCGGGGTGCCGGCGAGCGAGGAGCGTTGCCAGCGCGGTCGGCAGCAGCCAGGCGAGAGGACAGGCTCGGCGTGGGACAAACCTCTCTTTAATAAACCTCCCCTTTAGTGAAAACGGCCCAGGACCGAAACCGACGGGCCTGGACCCGCAAAAATGACGGCGGCGACGCCCTCCCGCGAACCGACCACGGCCAATTCCCTAATCGACGTGTCAGGGTAGGAGGTCGATCAACCTCCGACAAAGAGCAGGAGGACCCTGGAGACACAACGAACGGCATGAACACAAACTTTCGAAGGTCCGCGCGGATTTCTAGGGTCGGCGCTGCACCCTCCCCTGAAGGCGGCGCCTCCGGCGCCGCCGAACCGCGCCGGGGAAGGGGTTCCAGCGCCGACCCAAGAAATCAGCGCGGACCTTCAGAGTTAGGTCGGGCATGTCCCCCTACGGGCGGATATTTTGGGCGGAACATAAAAATAGTCAAACAATTGTCAAGAATAGTCAGAATTTGTCGGAAAATCGTCCCCAGTCTGTTGCTTGACTATTTTTGGATATTCCTCCTGTAGAGGGAGATGCCCGACGTAATTTTAGAGATGCTTGATCTGGAGACATTCCTGGACCCCCTCGCTCCACCAATACGGCGATGCTGTGTCGAGCGTCCACAGCTTGAGTCGAACCGGAGTGGAAATGAGTCGAACTGGAGTCGAATAAGTCAAACTAGGGCCGAATGACCCGTCGGGTTGGCCCCAGGAAGGCCCCCAAGATGAGCATCTGAGGACCCAAATCTTCGAAACCTGCAGAAAACCCCCCTGTATTTGGACACCCCGCATGGGCACGGAAAGAACGGATATGAGGCCCAACAACAAATGTTGTCCAAAATCTATATAGCGGCCGCTGTTGGGCAGGAGGCCTCCTGCCTGAAACGGACAACGTCCGCGGCGGCGCCGGACAGCGAATCCTGTTCAAAATGAGCAAGAACTGCAGTTGGGCCTCATACAGTGGAGGCCCGACCACAAGAAACCTTCCACAAGAAACCCAACCCTGAGACGCCAGGACGCCCATCGACTTTTGGTATGGGAAAGCCGCGTTGTCCACCGCAAAGCAATCGAAACCAAAGAAACCCAAGGCATCCTGGAGGCAAACAAAATGTCTCTTGGCATGGGTCTCCACTGCACCCACTGTTTCCGTACACACTGCGTTCGTGCCGACCCTACTGAAGAGGCCCTGGGACGCACAAATAAATACACAGAAATAAAAAGATCCTCCATATTTTCCTACATTTTCTGGGGTTTCGTCTTCCCCCCCACTTCCCATATTTTCTTGGGAATCGACGATTCATTGTTGTGTCTGTGTGTTTTTTACCCTCCTGACCTACACGCCACCACTGTGCCCGGCCAGAGCCGCCCCGGACACCTGCACACGGCGTCTCCAGCCGGCGGGGAACATAATGGAGGAGGAGAGGGCCTCTCGGGAGCCTCTGGGGGGCACTCTTGGGGCCTCCTGGGAGCTTCCCGGGAGCCTGTCGGAGGCACCTTGGGAGCCTCCTTGGGCCTCTTGGGGGCCTTCGGGGGCTTCTCGGGTGCCTTTGTCAGGAAAGCCCAGAATCGAATCGATAAATCGGATCGGCGATCGACATGAACCGGATCGGCGAAAACCGGCAGCCGAGTCGGGAAACGTCGTAGGCCTCCGTTGAGAAATCGGAACCCAAATCGGAATCCGAAGTCGAATCGAATCGTAATCGGAATCCGAAGTCGAATCAAATCGGAGGAATCGAAGCGAGCCCTGCTTTTTGGCCGTCTTAATGCATTCCTGCCCAGGCTAAGACGCCGTCGGAAGCCGTCTTGGGGGCCCGAGCCTTGCAACCAGAGGGTCCGTGCGCCCGCCCTTTGGGGCCCAGCACGGCGCTGGCCAGGGGCCCAGCGGGTGGCGGGCCAGCGCGCCCGCTGGCGGAGCAAAGAGGGCAGACCTCCTCCTCATCCTCCTCCTCCTCGTCCCCCTCCTCCTGCTCCTCCTGCTCCTCCTCCTCCTCCTCCTCCTCCTCCTCCTCCTCCTCCTCCTCCTCCTCCTCCTCCCTCCTCCTCCTCCTCCTCCTCCTCCTCCTCCTCCTCCTCCTCCTCCTCCTCCCCCTCCTCGAGGCGAGGCGACGGCAGCGAAGCGAAGCGAAGCGAACCGTAAACGCCCGGAGGCGGCCCATGGCTGGGCGACGTGCGCGCTGCGAGGCGCGCGGACCCTCTGAGAGAACCGGGAAAGGGCCATAACCGGTTCGCGATTCGGTGCACATGCGCTCGGACGTCCAGTCCCTGTGTTTTTTTCGGTTTCGTGCGTGTTTTCCCGCCAAATGATTACGGCTGCTCCTCGATGGCCCTCGCCGAGAAAAAATGCACACGTTCGAGCGATGCCAGGAGACCGGAGGAAGGGCAGGGGAGCCAAGAAGGTGACAGACCAGGCAGGAGCGAGGCGACGGTAGGAGCATGCGAAGGCGACACAGCACCACTAGGGACCACCCGCGGGAGGAGCCAGGGGGTGTCCCCCTGGTGGTGTGGTCCCCCCCCCTCGAGACAGACATTCCCTATCCCCAGCTCGGAGAGGCCTCGTGGACCTTCTCGCCGTAGGTGGTCTAGGTGGTCCCCATGGTGGTGGTGGGGTCGCTTCTCCGTCCCCCGACGACGGTGTGAGGGAGGATATCCAGGAGTTGGACGTCTGGGCCGTTGGTAATGCATAGGTGCCTGTATGGAATTGCCGCGCGCAGTTTCCTGGGCAGGAGCAGTAGCCCTGGAGAAAGCATCGGGCGAGTTTGCAGCCTTTCGGACGCTGTGCAGCTGATGGCCAAGAGCAGAAGCCCAAGTTCCTTGCGCCTGCAGAGAGCCCCCCAGCAAAAGTCCAGGCGTGAGAGAGCTGGGGCCAGCAGGGCTGGATGGCGCAGGGAAAGTGAAGGATGCGCCCCCTCCTCATCGCCCTGCCCTCTCACATTTTAACGGGCGAAGAACGGTATAAAATAAACTTGTTCGCCGTCGGGGACACCTGCCCCAGGGCGGCTGGAAAGTTTATACCCTTACGGTGGCACCGTGGGGGTATAAACTTTCCAGCCGCCCAGGGGCATTTGTCCCCGACGGTGGAAAGTTTATGTTATACCGTTCTTCGCTCGAGGAACATCAGAACACCTGCTACGTTGGAGGCCTCACACGTGGGGGGTCGAGCAGACGGAGTCTGGGGATCGCGCCGCATCGGCGACTCACCGGAGACGTCAGCGACGTAACGGCGGCGTCGGCTGGCAGAAATCGGGCTCCTTCATCGAGCCGTACCGCCGACGCGTCGGCGAGGCGGTGCGATGCTCCAACCCCATCTGCTCGGACTGAAGCCAAGCCTTTTATGTTTGTCTTTCACGCGCGCCTCAGACAAGCGAGCCTGCTACTCCGAGCTTCTGAATAATGAGCGTCAAGGGGGGCGTCACCCCCGCCGACAGCCCCACATCGATCCCCATCGCGGGCAGCCACCGCGCGCCGAAGGCGCTCCGACCCCCGCCGCGGTGCGACGACGAGGCGAGGTTGACCCCCGTCGGGGGGGTACCCCAGGGCACGCCGGTCCCCACCTGCCTCCGGGACCCGCACGCGGGGGCCCCGAGTGAAGCCAGCAGCGCACTGGCAGCCCTGGAAAAAAAACCGCAGCGGTGGGCCGCGGCATTCTCCGTTCTGTCGGTTCCTCGAGCTGCACCTTTCGCAGAGTCCCGTCCTCCAGTGTCCTGGCATCCGAGGCCCCGACTTCAGAAGAAAAAAAAACGCCATAAACATAGAAACTCTTGGCGCTCCACGCAGATTTCTGGGATCTGCGCTGAACCCGGTCCCTGGCGCGCGGAGCGCGCCAGGGGCGGCGCGGGAGGCGCCGCCGAGGGGGGCCAGCGCGGATCCAAGAAATCCGCGCGGAGCGCCAAAAGTGTATGTCTATGCCGTTTTTCTTCTTCGAGACTTGGGGGAGCAAAGCCCAAAGTGATGGCACGGCGCCGCGGAGAACCCCCTCAGCACGCTGCTGTCGAAGAACCACCAGGTCCTCGGACAGAAAAGCGCAGGAGCAGCACCCCGACGGGCTCCCAACGGCGACGCGTCATTGAAGTCCCCCCCGTCCGACGAGCTGCGCCTCCCGCAGCAGTGCCCGAGGCGGCGCCGCCAAGAGGGCCTCGATGGGGCCCGAGAGGAGCCAGAGGAGCATGCTGTGCGCAAGGACGGCCCGGGGCTGCACGGCGGGTGGGCGGGTGCGGCCTGGTTGCGTTTGATCACGTTCTCCTTCCGCAGCATCTTCATCGCGTAGACGGTCTCCTCTGGGTCGTCCTCGGGGGCGCCCAGATAGGCAACCACACATGAGCTCTGCCCCTGCAGGCCAGACTTCTGAACCGCCGGCTGGGGTTCAGAATTCGAAGGATGTCTGCAACCGAGCGAAGCCCAGCGGAGCTGTCCGCTGCCTCAGAGTCGATATGACCCGGGGCGGCAAGCCGCAAAAGGTCGCAGACCAAAGGCCGATGCCGTTGCTTCTTGTTCCGCCCTGGTCCCTCAGAGTCCCAGGGTCAGCATTGCCACCCTAGGTAACCTTGTTCAGAAAAACAGCAACAACAACAGCAACAACAACATCAACAACATCAACAATAACAACAGCAGCAGCAGCAACAACAGCAACAACAGCCGCAGGAGCGGCAACAGCAACAGCAACGGCAACAGAAACAGCAACAGCAACACCAGCAACAGCAGCAACAATAACAACAGCAGCAACCACGGTCACAACAGCAACAGCAACAGCAACAGCAAAATCATCAGTATCATCATCATCATCATCATCAGCAGCAGCAGCATCATCAACATCACCATCATCATCATCATCAGCATCATGATCATCATCATCATCATCATCATCAGCATCATCATCATCTGCATCATCATCGTCATCGTCATCGTCATCATCATCATCATCATCAGCAGCAGCATCATCAACAACAGCAACAACAGCAACAACAACAACAAACATAACAAAGAACCTAAACCCTGTCGGAGGTCCGCGCGAGTTTCTCGGTTCTGTGCTGGAACCCGGGGCGGCGCCAGGGGCGCTGGGACCGAGCGAGAGCCAGGCCGGCGACGACGGCGACGGCCTCCCGGATGGAGTCTTGCCAGCGCGCCCGGAGGCTGCGGGCCGGCCGGAGAGCGGCCCGATGGGGGGAGGAGGGGGGAGGAGGGGGAGGAGGGGGAGGAGGGGGGAGGGGGGAGGAGGAGGGGGAGAAGGGGGAGGAGGAGGAGGGAAAACACGAGGCAACGGGCGCCGACGCGTCCGGCTGCCTGCGGCCGCGCGCAGCGAGGGCGCCCGACGGGTAGCCCGGGGGCCCCACGCGCGGATCTCGCGGGCGACACGGCCGAGTCCATCGAACGAGTCGGCGTCGCCGCTGTGCTGGGCGGGCAGGGGGGGGAGAAACAGAGAGAGAGAGGGAGAGAGAGAGAGAGAGAGCAAACACACGATAACTTCGGGATCACCACATCACCCAAAGAAGCCCAGGACACCCCAGGTACAAAATGGAAAGTACGTGCCCAGATCACCGTCCTCCTCCTCCTCCTCCTCCTTCTCCTTCTCCTCGTCCTCCTCCTCCTCCTCCTCTGCTTCCTCCTCCTTCTCCTCCTCATCCTCCTCCTCCTCCTCCTCCTCCTCCCTACCTCCTCTTCATCATCTTACTCCTCCTTCTCCTCATCCTCCTCCTCCTCCTCTCAGACCTGTGACGTCGAGCGCCCACGATTGTCATTTAGCACGCGTGCCTGAGACTCCTCGACCCCGCCCGCCCTGAAAGGGCGAGAGAAGAGGAGAGGCAGGCCTCGGGACCTCCCACTAGAAGAAGAAACAACATAAACACAAACTGTCGACGGCCCGCGCGAATCCAAAAAATCCGCGCGACACGTCTGAGGAATCTCGTTAGGCGGGCTGCTCACACCGAGGGGGCGCCAAAAAAGGACGGGAGCCGAGGAGAGGCAGGTCTCAGGTCGCCATTAGGGGAGGTCTGGGAAAGCAGGGAGGTTCTAGCCCGAACCAGTGAGCTCGCAGTCCGAGGTTGTTATCCTTGTTGTCCTGTACCTCCCTGCCAGCACGAAAAACAAACCCAGCCGAAGTCCAGCAAACAGCATTTAGGTCCAGCCCTGCGTGCTATTTCGTAAGTCTCGTGGGCAGCATGCCACGGAACCCTGCAATAGCAGGGCTTAGGCTCGGCGCACAGCCTGTCCCCGAGGTTCTGGAAGCGATGCTCGGTTTGAGGGCTCGAGGTCGCTGCAATCACGACAGCCCCAGGGGCCCGCGTTGGAACTCTCCTAGGGGGACTCTTGGGCCGCCTTGAACGTTCTGGGGGTGCGGGCCAAGAGCCAACAGCGGTCGGGTCTTTGCGAGGTTTGTACGCACGGCTGGAACATGTTCGCCATGTCAGCCCCAGAAGCATCCAAGACGGCCCTGGAGGCCCCAAAGCTCACCCAAAAACGACCCCCAAGCTCTCAACGATGGCCCAAGATGAGTATCGTTTAACCGATCCCCGTCCCCAGCGGCGTGGCCTGGCCCCTACTGGCCGATTTACCCCCCTAGGTGGGAATATAGGCAGTTCCCTTCGGGTTTCGAGGGGTGTATCCCCAACTGGGGTGGTAATCTGGTGGGGGTCTCGCAGGGGAGGAGGATGGGGATGGGGGTCGGTTAAACGATACTGACAAGAGGCACCCCCGACACGTTCGGACGGTGGACGCAGCTGGGGGATCAGAACCCTGGGCACCTGGAGTGAGGCCAACGTTTCGCTCCAGGTTCTTGAACAGGAGCTCGTCCCCCAAGAGCTCCGTCGCAGAACTCCTGGTGCTCCCTCGGGCTAGGTGCAAGAGTGACCCAGGCAAGAGTGACATCTGGCGCGCGGCTTCAGGGGGGGGCCGCGGGGGGTGGACTAAGTCCAAACCAAGCGCGCAAGCCGCTGCTGTCGCTTCGCATTCGGCGACCTTGGGGAGACTGAAAGGTACCGCGACTCCCTGGACCTCTCCCGGGGTGCATTCGGACCAGGAGTTCGAGGCGAATCCAGCGGTGGCGACGAGGGCCGCCCAGGACGCCCGAAGAAGGGAAAACGAGGGAAGGGTAGAGGCATGGTCGGGCTGGGCGAAAGGGGGGGACAGCAAAGGGGGGGGGGGGGGTGAGAATCAGCTCGCGTAGCTGATTTTCCCGGCGCCTCCCGGCGCGCCAGAGGCGGCCGTGTATCGAGGAATGGGCCCCGCGGTGGGGCCGAAACCAGCTGCATGCAGCAAATGTCGTTCCCCCCCCTTACCCAATCCCCCCCTTTCGTTCGGCCCGACAGAAGGGCACCTGTTCCTCCTCTGCGAGTTGAGCCCCAGGTGGGCCCGCAGCGAGGCTCCCTCCGCCGAAGGCTCCTCGTGCGTGCCGCCGGGGCCGGGCCGCCCGAGCTCCCGCCCCGGGCCCTGGGCTTAGGTCGGACGTGTCCCCCTACAAGCAGATTCTGGACGAAGGGGAACAAAAACAAAATATATGCCAAATAATAATGATACTGGTAATACGAACACGGATACTAATACGAATAACATTAAGAATCATGATAATAATGAAAATAACAATAATCATACTACTAAAAATACTACTAATCATAATCATAATCATAGTAACCATAATCATAATCATAATAATACACATAGTAATAATAATAATAATGATAATAATAATAGTAATAATACTAATAAGAAGAATAACAATAATAATAAGAATATTGATACCATTAACAAAACGAATAATAATAATAATGCTAATACAAAAAGGAATACTAATAGTAAACATACGCATATAACAAAAACATATTACAAAAAAGTCCTTAGACCAATTTAAACTATTGTTGAAGATGCCTCCTGTAGACAGACACGCCCGACTCAACCCTGGGCAGGTGCTCCGACGCGCTGCCCAGCAGCTCCAGGAGAGTGGCGTCTCTCTCCTGGGCCTCGCCCAGCCTCGCGCGCAAGGCGCGAGAGGCGCGCTCTGGCACTCGCACACAGAAGGAGAACCAAAAACTGCATCCGCACGAATTTGTGGACTCCTCCTCCTCCTCCTCCTCCTCCTACTACTCCTCCTCCTCCGCGTGGATCTCGTGCATCGGCGCCAGACCCGCCCCCCCTCACCGGTGCCGATGCACAAGAGAGATCCACGCGGACCTCCACAAGTAGGGGACCACATGCGAACCCTATACCCATACCCCCCACGATTTCTGAGGGGAAGGGTGGGGGGTTCACTCCGTTCGGGAGCTCCCGAGCGAAGTGAACCCCGCCCTCCCCCTCGGAAATCGTGGGGGGTAGGGGTATAGGGTTCGCACGTGGCCCCCTGCTTGTGGAGGTCCGCGTGGATCTCTCTGGTGCATCGGCGCCGGACCCGACCCCCCTCACCGGCGCGCGGATCGCGCCAGCGAGGCGGCGCCGGAGGCGCCGCCCGGGGGGGCCCGGCGCCGATCCAAGGGAGCCGCACGGACCTTCCCAGACATCCGGCTGCTCCAATTTTTTTGTCGGTGCGTGGGCCCAAGAATCGGGGATCTTCTGACCCGGGTCAATCCAGACCCGGGTAAGCAGGAAGCCATAAACTGCTATGCAGGAAAAAAAACTGCAACGCAGGTCTTCGCAAACCCGGGTCAGCCAATAGGCGCGGCCGCCTCGCGGCCACGAACGGCTCGCTAATCCGGGTCAGCCAGAAGGGGTCGTCGCAAGATCCTGCAGGATCCGGTGCCCTGGCTGACCCCCATTTGCATTGACCCTGTCTCTTGAGTCCCGACAACAGGCGGGACCCTTTCTCCGGGACTGGTGTTTCGTCCTGACCTGTTGTGTGACACTACCGAGGCCGGCGAGAGCCTGGCCAGAAACCACCCGCTACAATTTTGGGGGAGCGTCGGATCTCTGGGTCCCAAAGTAGATGTTCAACAGTTTTGCTCTCCCTCGGGTTCGCACTCCTCCGAGTGAACAGCGGCAACTATTTCCTGCCCGGGCCGCGAGGCGCAAAGCAAGGATAATTACCCTTGCTCACAAGCGATGGTGCGCCCCCAGTCCCCTGTCGACGAGCGCGTTATACGACTCGCAAAGTAACTGCTCGCAAATGGCCTGGATCCGCCGCGGGGGATCTACGATAAACCGTATCGAAGCCAACATATATTTGTCGGACGCTTGCAACTAAGCACTTTGCGAGTAGTGGAACGCGCTCGGTGACCGGAATTGCCCGCAAAAAAAGTAGGCCGCTCAGAAAAGAGGGGAAAGCCGGGCATCTGCCTTCAGGGGGCTCTTCGGACGCACCCCTATCGAGGATGGACGCCCCTCCATCGTACATCCCTGAGTCGGGCCCAGTTCTGGCGGCGCACACAAGGGCGTGGCGCGAGAGGGGTGGCCTTCGAAGAAGGCAGCGCGCTCCGTAGAAGGCAGGGCCTCCCTAGAAGAGCCTGGAGGTTTCTAACAAGGCTTCTGAGAAGCCAGGAGTGCTTCAAAGAAAGCCCCTGCCTTCAGAAGTTCCCCCTCTTTCTAAGAAAGCCGCCCCCCCCGCGCTACCCCCCACTGTGCGTGCCGCCAACAATTTTGCTTGTCCAGCCGAAAGCCAGGAAAACCAAGAATCGAATCGATCAGCCGTATTTGCGATCGAAATGCATCGAATCGAGGGAAATCGGCAGGCGAGTCCAGAGAAGTCGCATCGGCAGTGCAGGGATCGGCAAGCGATCAAGCCTCCCTCGAGAAATCGAAGCCCAAATCGGAATCCGAAGTCAAATCAAATCGGGATCGGAAGACCTCGAAATCGAATAGAATCGGAAAGGAGGAATCAAGATGAGCCCTGAAAACCCCCAAGTCGGGGATTGGGGTCACCATACCCCTCAGAAGGAAGCTGCTTCTTAGAAGGCGCCAGTCCTACATCTAGAGATAAGGCCCGCGCCTTCTAAGAAGCCGGACTGCTTCTCAGAAGCATTCCGCCCTCCCTCTACCGCCCTCTGCGCGTGGCTGGCAAATCGAGAATTTCTGAGACCCGATGGCTGTGGAGGATGTATCGGGCGCCGCGGCCTTCTCAGAGCGTCCCAGAGAGGGAACGCTCTGAGAGCGTTCCGGAGCGCCCTGGGAGCAGATGTGCAGTCGGACCTGGGACAGAAGAACATCCATCACGAATATGGGACCCTCCGCTGGCCCAAACTGAAGAACACAGAGGTGCCCGCCCCCAGGATGCACAAGAACGCCCCTCAAGTTCGAACGGCATCAGGGCACCCTCCCCGAGCCGACCTCGATGAGACGCCCCGGTGCGCCCGCATCCTTGCCCCGAGCCCCGCCCGATCTGTGCCGCAGCGAAGGGCGAGCCCCCTGAGGTCGCCGAGGGTCGGGGGCTGCAGCGGGGTGAGAAGGCGAAAACCCACCCCCACCCCCCAGTCCCGACCCCATTTCCGAACCCTCGATCTGGGAGGTCGGGACTGGGCGTGGGGGGGGGGTTTTCGGGGTCCAGGGATAAAGAAAACCCACCCCCACCCCCAGTCCCCACCCCCCAGATCGCGGGCTCGGGGGTGGGCGTCGGGACTGGGGGTGGGGGTGGGTTTGCGCCTTCTCGGCGGGGGGCGCATCGAGCCGGGCGGGCGAGGCTCGCCCCTCTGAGATCCGGTCCGGGCGGCTGCCGGGGCCGGGCCCCGGGGCCAGCACGGGTCGATGAGGCTCTCGAAGGCTGCAGCAGAGAGATCGGGCCTGGAGCTCCGGTCCAGACTCTCGCGACGCTGTGTGGCTTGTGCCAGGAGAAGCTCCTATTGACTACCTACCAGACCACCCCAACCCAACCCTAAGACCCGAATTTGACCCGAATTTCGGGTTTGGGGGGGGGGTACGGATACCATGTGTTTTTGTCAACGTTCCCCGACCCCCCCCACTGGAAATGGAAGGCAAATTGAGGGCTTCGGGTTGGGTTGGGGTGCTTTGGTGGGCGGTGACCTATGGTCAAGAACGTCAAGAAACACGACTCCAAACACAGATCCCGAGTTGTTTGAAAGCCTTAACCAGGCGCCCGAGCGGAAGCGGCCTCGCAGCTTCGACGGACCGCAGTCGACCTGCTGCAATTGACCTCTGTTGGATCGGGCATCCAGCTGAGTGCGTGCACGAAGGCCAACACTTCAGCAGAGGGGCGCGGTCGTCCTTGTGGCGGACCAGCATCACTTTCCCGTACGAGCCCTTCCCAATGACCTGCCCAGGGATCCCTCGCCACTTGCCACCCCTCAGACGAGACTGCAGAGTTGCGTGTCAGATGCACAGGTTGTGTAATGACGCCTGCAGCAGATGCGTTGCCCATTCTTCGCTGTGGGATCCAATCGTGAGAGCATGCAAGCAAGAACACGGGCCGATACGACAATCCGTCCGAAAGGATCCACGAGCCGCTGAGGAATGCATGTCGAAGCATATACAAGCATGCATTGCACAGGATGGTACGTCAGACTTTGATACTCCATTCTATGTTATGCTGTGTTGCGCGCTCTACCACGATCCGTCTTTTTCCAGAGACGTCCTCACAATGCTCGTCATCCTCATGGTGAGCGTTTTTCGGCATTTCGACATTGGGCGGAAGGGGGGGGGGTCTGGCTCCGGACATCTGCTCACTGCGACCGTTTGCAGCAGTGCGTCCCGTGAGCCCTGCACTCTCACATACTAGTTCTGGATTCCGCTCACTCTGCATTTCAAGCCCTTCGACCCCTCCGGGGGAGGGGGCCCGAGCCGATCGGCAAAACAATGAATAAACAAACGCATCCGCCTCCGCCTCCTCCTCCTCCTCCTCCTCCTCCTCCTCCTCCTTCCCCCTCCTCCTTCCTCCCTCCTCCCTCCTCCCTCCTCCCTCCTCCCCCCTCTGATCACATGGGGCCCACTGGAGCCCTCTGTGGCCCCATTGGGCACCCCGTGCCCTCCACGAGCCTCCGAGGGGGCCCTTGCCGGGGCCCCTGCTGGGCCTCCGAGGTCCTGCCTCCGGGGCGCCGCAGGGCCTCCGAGGCTAGGGCCTCCGTGGGATGTTCCTCCTCCCCCTCCCCCTCCCCCTCCCTCCCCTCCCCTCCCCCTCCTCCTCCTCCTCCTCCTCCTCCTCCTCCTCCTCCTCCTCCTCCTCCTCCCGCTTCTCCTCCTCCTCCGCTTCCTCCCTCCTCCGCCTCGTCCTCCTCCTCCTCTTCCTCCCCTCCTCCTCCTCCTCCTCCTCCTCCTCCTCCTCCACCTCGTCCTCCTCCTCCTCCGCCTCGTCCTCCTCCTCCTCCTCCTCCTCCTCCGCCGCGTTTCCCTTGTTTTACGCATCGGATCCCCAGAAGGTGATCGATCACATGTGTGCTTCCAATCTGAGCGTCTTCGGTGTTGTCCCACCGATGGCGTTCCCGCTGCAGCGGGTGCTCCATTTGCTGGCTCGCAGGCCAGACAAATCCTGCTCCCGCCGTAGAGCGCTGACCTCATGTCGCCTGTAGCGGTGATTCCAAATCGCGCTCCCGCTGCTGCATTGGCCCTCGTGTTACGTTTCCGCTCTTTCCGAACCGCTCATTGACATGTTTCGTATTGCGTCACGTCTGGCTTCCATCCGAGCATACGACGCCCCCCCGTGCTCTTCTGCGCCGTGCCACTGCGCCGTGCACGACCATGCATATCGCACCCTCTCGGGATCAGTGCCCTGCTCGACATCCGAGTGTGCCAATAGGGGAGATCTGCGCCACGGTCAGAGATGGGAGGGAGGGGTAGGACGTCAGACAAGACGCTTGCGCACCTGGCTTGCCCCCTCCCCCTCGCCCTCCCCCCTCTCCTCCTCCTCCTCCTCCTCCTCCTCCTCCTCCTCCTCCTCTCCTCCTCTTCCTCCTCCTCCTCCGCCTCCTCCTCCTCCTCCTCCTCCTCCTCCTCTCCTCCTCCTCTTCCTCCTCCTCCTCCTCCTCCTCCTCCGCCTCCTCCTCCTCCTCCGACTCCTCCTCCGACTCCTCCTCCGACTCCTCCTCCGACTCCTCCTCCATCCTCCCCCTCTTTGGGTACAAGGGCTTCCCCAGCCCGTTGTTCCACTGCATGCTCCTCCACATCTCTGATCATGGCAACTCGCCTGGGCATCGTCTCTGGACGGCCTGGTGGGGTTGCGCGAAGCGTCTAAATAAACATAAACTTTCGGACATCTGCGCAGATGTAATGGATCTGCGCTGGACTCCTGGGAAGGCGCCAGAGGCGCCGCCAGGGGCGCCCAGCGCCGATCCAAGAAACCCGCGCGGAGCTTCGAAAGTGTATGTTTATGCTGGTGTTGTGCCTGATGGGAGATGTTAGATGCGACAAAATCAATCTTGGTCACAAAACCCCTGGTGGTGGCCAGCATGGAAGAAACTTGCACCTGGCACTGCTCCGGCGGTCGAGTATGGCTGCTCCGAACTTCACAACTAAACGGGCGAGGGTCACAAATCTCTCAGACGAGGCATCCGAGACCCCCCCCCGACTGGCCCTGAGAAGGCTGCCCCTGGCCCAGGCCACCCAGAGACCTCCAAGACAGCTCGCGTCAGACCCCCAAAAAGGCCAGACCCCCACCCGTTGAATGGCAATGTTGGCCAGCGTGGACCCCACACCGTGTGTGTTCTGGCATGCCCGGCGGCTCCAGTCTGCGCGGTGCGAACCGTGCGGTGGAGACTGCATGGTTTACCAGCCTGGAACACATCCCTATCCCTATGCTGGGCACCTCCTCATCACGATGCCAATCTTGGGGATTCCCATATCTTTTGAGGGCGAATCCCTAAGATTGTCATCGCCTTCTGGCGTGTCAATCTTAGGGATAGGGATACGTTCGGGAGCGGCCAAGAGGGGGGTGTCCAAGAGGGGGGGGTGCAGATCATGACCGGCGGCATGTGCGCGGCCCAGCGGGGGGGCCAGGGACGTAATGAAATAAGAAGGGGCGCCATGAAATCTGGGGAAATATCATGGCCCACGCCATGATATCCACCACCCCCTAGTCATCACCCCCCTCTTTGCCGCCCCCGATACGCTCGAGGCTGGTGAATGGTGCGGCGACGGCCGGGCACGGGGCCGCCGGGCCCGCCGACGGACGCCTCCCCGGGGGCAAACAAGGGGCGGCGGCGGGCGGGCATAGGGGGCCGCCGGTCCCGCAGGCGGGGGCCCGGCTCGGGGGAGACCAGAAGAGGTGCCCACACGGTTCCTCCTCCCCCTCCTCCTCCTCCTCCTCCTCCTCCTCCTCCTCCTCCTCCATCTCCTCCTCCTCCTCGGCGGGCCCGGTTCGGGGGGAGACCAGCAGGTGCCCGCACGGCTCCTCCTCCTCCTCCTCCCAGAACTCCCTCCCGGAGCGCGTGCCGACACACAGAGGTGTCGAGGCGGATCCAGCCGCGGCGGCGAGCAGCTCCCGGGAGGCAAAAAAATGGCGAGAGCGGGGCAAGGGTGTCGGTATCGGTCCCTCCTCTCGGCGGTGGACAAACCTCCCTTTAGTAGACCTCACCTTAGTGAAATCGGCCTGGGACCGAAACCGACGGACCTGGAACCGCAAAAATGACGGCCGCGACGCCCTCTCGCGAACCGAAAACGGCCAATTCCTTAATCGACGTGTCAGGGTAGGAGGTCTGTCCACCCCCGATCTTCCTCCTCTGAAGGTCAGCTCCTGAGAAGCGAAGCATCAAAACCCCCAAGTGCAAGCAAACACTGCTCGGGGGAAGCTCGGAGTGCCGCTTCGTCCTGCGGCTCGCCCCTACTACGCGGCGGCTGCTCGGCGCGCGCGGGGCCGGCTGCTCTTCGGCCAGGCGTGGCCTCCTGTTGAGCCTCGACTTGGCTGTGTCGCTGCAGCGGGCTCCAAATCACACTAACCCTGCACACTCGCAATCGCTCGGACGTCCATTCCCTGTATGTGTTTCGGTTTCTTGCGTGGTTTTCTCGCCAAATCATCAAGGATGCTCCTCGATGGTCTTCGCCGAAGGAAGAAATACACACGTCCGAGCGATGTCAGGTGCACATCGAAGAGGCAGACGAAGCGCCAGCCTCGCTGCCAACCGGGACCTATTAACGATGCCAAGCGACCCCGGGGGCGGCCCGCCATCGGTCCGGCTGCTATGACGAGGAAGCGCGTGGTATGACTTGGTGTTGCATGGAAGCGACGGCGAGATCTTGCCGTCGCTCGGACGTCCATTTCCCGTGCATGTTTCGGTTTCGCGCGTGTTTTCTGTTGCTGAACGGTCCAGGATGGTCCTCGACGGTTCTCGCCGAGGAAAAATGCACACGTCCGAGCGATGCCAAGAGATAGGTCATTCGTCCTGTGAACGCTCGTTGCCGATTCACATCACATCGCTGCTGACGGTTCACGTCGCTGTGCCGTGACTGCGTCTCCGCTCTCTTTGCCCCAATGCTTACATTCCCTCCTTGCGCCGCCAGAATATGACCATATCCACTGCTGCTGGGTCGTGTTCCGAGGTCTCGGGGAGCGGCGGATATGTACATCTTCCCGCCAACGCGGGCGGGCAGGTATCCATATCCAACGCTCCTCGGGACCCCAGGGCACGACTCCGAAGCGGTGGGTGTGAACCTACTCTTGCGGTGGACTCCCGCCTCCCTTGCAGTTGCAGGTCCCGCGTCCACGGCTCCACGCACGAGCAGGAGTCACAAGAAGCAGGAGCACGTGTCGGGAGCGGCCAAGAGGGGGGTGTCCAAAAGGGGGGGGTGCAAATCATGACCGGCGGCATGTGCGCGGCCCAGCGGGGGGGCCAGGGACGTAATGAAATGAGAAGAGGCGCCATGAAATCCGGGGAAATATCATGGCCCCCGCCATGATATCCACCCCCCCCTAGTCATCACCCCCCTCTTTTCCGCCCCCGAACGTAGGAGCAGGACTCGGCACGAGAGCAGGATCGAGACCGGGAACCCGAGCACGAGGAGCACAACGATGGGAGCAGCGTGCGCGTGGAAGGAGTGAGCGGAGCAGTGCCAGGCTCAGGTCGGGCGTGTCCCCCCACAGGCGGATTTTGGGCGACAAGTGACAGATTCCTCCGGTGGAGGGGCGCGCCCGACTTGCAGGGCAGTTTTGAAAATATCGGATGTTTAATACATGCTTGATTTATGAGTACACTTATGCATGAACTCATCGTTGTTGTTAATACTAAATCCCTGCATTTTTTATACATGGTCCGCACGCGGAGCATGTATTAAAACCGGCGCTGTAATGCGAGGCGCGGTGCAAGGGGGCAGGAGCAGCCGCAAGAGCCGCCGCCAGGGCCAGGAGACGCGCCAGGCACAAGACAGCGCGTGCGGACACGGGGGGCAGCAGCAGTCTGCAGGGGCCCAGGGACACACAAAGACAGTCAGACAATCCCATGATTCCCCATAGTTTCCCCTATATTTCTTGGACTTTCGTCTTCCCCACCACTTGCCATGTGTTCCCACATTTCCTGGGGAAACGACGGTTCATTGTGTCTGTGTGTTTTTGTTCCCTCCTGACAGTCAGCAGCGAAACGGGAAACCAAATCTCGAAATCAACTCGGATCCAGTTGGCCCTAGGTCGGGCATGTCCTCCTACAGGCGGATGTTGGACGAAAAGTAAAACAGGGCTGAACCGTTGTCGTTTTCGTGTTCCCTCGTTGTATGTTCGATCCGCCTTCCCGCAAAACGAAGTCGAACCGAAAGCGGCCCACGAAAACACCAAAACACCGTTTAGGTCCAGACCTGAAATGAAACATACGCAACCAAAATACGCAAACAAAACTTACATGACCAAAAAAGGTCCCTTGACTATGTTTGCGATTATGTTTGAACATTCCTCCTGTTGAGGGACAGGCCCGACTGAAGGCTGGCCGCAGGCGATCTCGAATCGGATCGCCCAGATCGAGACGGGCCCTGACGGGTGCGCCACGCGTGCGCGGGTGCGCCCTGCGCGCGCGCGCGCCCGCCAGGTGCGCCCGCCGGGTGCGCCATGGGCCCGTCCCTCCCTCCCTCTCCTCGGCCTCCGCTTCCGAGCGAGGAGGGGGGGGGAAGCTGGGAGGTTCAGGCAGGGGACGAGGGAGAGGCCGCCGAGGAGGGAGGGAGGGGAGGGAGCGGAGGGACGGGAGGGGAGAGGGGAGGAAGAGGGAGACGGAGGAGCAGACGAGAGCGGGAGGGGGAGGAGGGAGGAGAGGAGCGAGGAGGACAACGACAAGAGGAGCGCCCGCGGCATCGGCCGAGCCCACACCCGTCCCTTACCAGCCTGGAACATATCCCTATCCCTATGCTGGGCACCTCCTCATCACGATGCCAATCTTGGGGATTCCCTTATTTTTTGAGGGCGAATCCCTAAGATTGTCATCGCCTTCTGGCGTGTCAATCTTAGGGATAGGGATACGCTCGAGGCTGGTAAGTCCCCTCCTTCAGCAGCGTGAAGTCATCCAGCCGGGGGGTCTCACGGTCCGCCATGGTCCTGCAGGAGGGCGCCCGCCGCACGGAGGCAAAAAAAAACACGGGGTCCTCCTCCTCCTCCTCCTCCTCCTCCTCCTCTCCTCCTCTTCCTCCTTCTCCTCCTCCTCCTCCTCCTCCTCTCTCTCCTCCTCCTCCTCCTCCTCCTCCTCCTCCTCCTCCTCCTCCTCCTCCTCGGGAGGCACCTCGCCCTCCCGGCCCCGCACGCTTCCCCCCGCGGGCCCCCACGAGCAATCGAGAGAGGGCCGCGGAGTCTCGAGGAGGAAGTTCGGATGGGATGGGGGAGCGCTTCGGCGACTCCGAAGGGTGTGGCCTGCACAGGGTGTGGCCTGCAGCCGGCACCCCGGGGGTCACCCTGGGGGGCGGGCGGGGGGCCTCGATGGAGTTCTCCGCCGCGCCCCGAGGAGGCCCGACGAAGACAGTGCCGCCCTCCCCAGACCCCAACGGTGCCGATCGCAAACCACACCGTGGCGCAACCAGATGCATCGCCGATATCCGCCGATCCGGCGTGAGTTTCCAGGAGTCTCAGCTACAGCCTCGAGGCTGAGCCTCAGCCTCTGGGGGGGTTGCCGGGGTGGCTCTGCCGGGGAAGGGGGGATGGGGGGGGGGGGTGCGAGTTTCCGGCGGATGCGGGGGGGCTGCTTTTACAGAAGGCTCTAATCTCGAGGATGCGCTAAAAGGGTGGCCGCGGCCGCAAAAGCCTCTTAGGACGGTCTAAGAAAGTCCCGAGACCCCGAAAGATCGCCCGAACACGCCCAAGATGGCCCCCAGACGGCCCAAGAGCCTTCCAAGACGTCTGAAGAGGCCTCCAAGAGGCCTCCCACGAGGGCCCCCAGAGGCAAAAATCGTTGATTTCCATTGTTTTTTTTGTTTTTCTTCGCTTTTTGGGGTTGTCGCTTTTTTCGGCTTTCCGACGCTCCAAGACGGCCCAAGAGGCCCCCAAGACCGCTCGAAGACGGCCCAGGAGGCCCCCAGACAGTCCCAAGACGGCCCAAGAGGGCCCCAAGGCGGCCCAAAAGCTACCCAAGACGGCCCAAGAGGCCCCCAAGACGGCCCCAAGAGGACCCAAAAGAGGGACGAAAAGCGGAAAAAATCTAGCCTTCCAGCCCACGAGGCCCCCAGGAGGCCCCAAGAGCCCCCAAGAGGGCCCCCAAAAGCCCCCAAGAAGCCCCCTCGACGCCCTGACAGGCTCCTGTGCGAGTGTCTGTGTGTGGTGCGTGTCTGCGAATGTCTGTGCGTGCTAGTGTCTGGCGTGCGCCTAGTGTGTCTCTGTATGTGTATCTGCCGTATGTGCATTTGGTCGTGTGCGTGCGTGAGGTGTCCGCGTAATATGTGTATCCGAGCGACCCGGATCGGCGGCACTGGCCGAAGGCCACTACAATATCGCCCATAGGCCCCCGATAGCAAATCCGCACTGAGCAAGTTGGGCCCTCAGGCCCCATCGGCGACGAATGGGCCAATGGTGGTCGATGCATTGCCCCCTGAGGTTCTTGACCCGCTCTGGTACTTCCTCGGGAGGCGCCTCGCACTTTCGGTCCGTGCCCCCCCCGCGGGCCCCCCCCCGCCAGGATCGAGCGAGGGCCGGGGAGGCTCGAGGAAAGGCTGGAGGCCACAGGCGTCTGAGCGCAGGCCTCGGGGGTGGACAGAGCCCCCCCGCCTCTTGCAAAACAGCCACTTCAGTGGCTGGCAACAAGAAAACTGCGGGCGCAGCACCTCCGGAAATAGCTCCGGGGCGGTCTTCGCAAGCAAAACCAAAGCCTATTGAGCCCGATCAAGGGGTCACGAAGCAGGACTAGGCCAGAAGAAGCCCAGGACTCAAGCGGGGTACAGCAGGGTTCGGCGGGATCGAGCCAGATCCAACAGGAGCGTGGCGCTTCTGGGCCGCCGGTATACTGGCGCCGATGCTGCAGTGAACCTCCCAGGAGTTGCATCCTAAACTCGCTCATCGACTCGCGGGGCGGAGGTCCAGCAACGCTCTCGATGGCCTTCCCCGGTGGCCTGCAAGAGCCTCCCGAGGCCTCCAGGGAGGATGTCCGCAGGACCTGCAGGGGACCCCAGATCTACTGGCGCCGTTGAGGGACAACAATAAGGGGGGGGATAGGCATGGGGGGAAACATCGACCTGGAATCGGCGATACACCGTTGTTAGGTCGGCGATGGGCCCCCCCGATAGCGAGGCCGCACCTTCCTGGACGGGCCAGGGCCATCGGGCCCCTATCGACGATCAGTGGGCGCTTGGGGGTCGCTGCACCCCCCCTTCCCTGTGCCCACCCCCCCTATCTAAGGGGAAACAAACCTACCTCGCTTTTGACCACCCTCGCTTCCAAGAGATACCAAACGATGCCCAATGGCAGCCTGTACTGGTCAGGCCGCTCGACGAGGAGGCGCGCGGTATGGCCTGGTTTTGCCTGGAAGCGAAAGCGGGGTAGGTAATTCGCGCTCTGACTACCGTTGCCCTCGAGCCGAGGCCCCCCCCCAAACAAAAAAAAAAGCGCGGCGGGCATCTCGGCCCCCGCTCCCCGAGGGGCGCCGAGGGCCCCCGCGCCTCGGCCCCACGCGAGAGGCCCCCCCCCCCCCCCTATCGCGCGGCAGGCTCGCGCGCCCTGCCGGCGGCGGGCGCGTCTCGGGCGCGCCGGCACCCCGCGGGGCGTCCAGGGCCTCAGGGCGACCCGCGCCCTCGGGCCTCGGAGATCGCTCGAAGCGGGCTCGTGACGGAGGTGGCCTGCCTCGTTGGAGGCCCAGGCATGGGCACCAACACCCAGGCAGAGGGTCCTGCCTCCTCCAGGGGAAAAGGTGACCCTAGATGTCGGTGCCGGTGGTGAGATGTTTCTGCCACCCTTGGAAGCCCGCAGATTCCCACCGCCACCGAGATCGGGATCATCTGCCCTCGGTGGAGGCACATCGCCGATATTCAACGGGGCCCAGGGACACACAAATAGATACACACAAATCCCAGGATTCCCCCCATACTTTCGCACATGATCTGGGCTCTCGCCCTCCCCGCCACTTCCCATCGTTCCCATACTTTCCTGGGAATCCCCGTTTATGAAGGGGCCCAAGGACACACAAATAGATACACACAAATCCCAGGATTCCCCCATACTTCCGCATCTGTTCTGGGTTTTGTTCGTCCTCCCCGCCACTTCCTATCCATTTCCCACACTTTCCTGGGAGAATCGCCGATGAATGGTGTCTGTGCATGTTTTTGTTGCCCCTCCTGAGATACTGGTGTTGGTGTCAACCTCTGGGCCTCCGACCTCGGGCGCCGCTGCTCACCAGGGGGGGGGCAGAAACGGGGGGGAGGAGGAGGAGGAGGAGGAGGAGGAGGAGGAGGAGGAGGAGGAGGAGGAGGAGGAGGAGGAGGAGGAGGAGGAGGAGGAGGAGGGGGAGGAGGAGGAGGAGGAGGACGAGGACGAGGAGGAGGAGGAGGAGGAGGAGGAGGAGGAGGGGAAGCGAGGCGCGGCCTTCGTGCACCCGTGGTGACCGACTTCGTATCAAATCCGAAAAAAATACATCCTGCGAGTTGTGAGCTGATATTAGAGGAAGCTCGGTCCTCGTGATATTAGCACACATTTGCGTGTCGAGAGCTCTACGAGGGTCCCGGCGGTAACCTGGTTGACGGTGTACCGCCGGCTCCCAGTGGTGGCCCCTATGTGGGCCCCCTCTCCGGCAAGCCTCGAGGACGCCCCCCCCCATGCCACGCCCCCTCGTATCGAGCGCCGAGTCGGGCATGTCCCTCTGCAAGAGGCAGACTCGAAAATGGCCCAAAGATAGTCTGGGGACGAGTTTCCGAGCGTTTCCGACTGTGTTTGAACATTTGTTTAGTGAACGTTTTCTTATTCGGCATTTCGACACTGGGCGGAAGGGGGCAGGGGAGGGGGGGCGGTCTGGCACTGGACCTCTGCTGAATGCGACTGGTTGCAACAGTGCGTCCTACGGGGGAGAGACTCCACCTGCTAGAAAAACAGCGCCATAAAGGAACAAGATCTACTCCACGGGGGGGGGGGTGCGGACGCGAGGGCCCGCGCCGATCGGCAAAACAATGAATAAAAAAGCGAGCACTTCTTTCTCCTCTTAGAGTCCGCCTGTAGGGTTAAGTCGGGCCTGTCCCCCTACAGGGGGATGTTCGACGAAAAACAAAAAAATGCCCCCAAAAATACTCCAACAAATACTGAAATAATAGTCCCCGGACTATTGTTGGACTATGTTGGGATTACGTTTTGGGTATTTTTCGTTGTTCGTCGAACACCCCCCTGTAGGGGGACAGGCCCGACTTAACTCTTAGAGTCCGCCTGCAGGGAGGCCACGCCCGACCTACACCGCGAGCGCCCCCGCGGGCGCCGCCGCGGCGCCTCGGCGCGCCGCTTGCGGCCCGCGCGCGCGAGGGAGCGCGAGCGAACCCCGGAGGACCCGCGGGTCGGCCTGGGGCGCCGCGCGATCGCCGCGTCGCCCCACTCGGCTCGCGTCGGGCACGTCCCTCCGCAGGAGGAATGCTCAAGAACAGTGACAAAAAACTTATGAAGAAAATCCTGGAGGCCTCGCGCGGCAACTTGAGACCCGATTTACGTCGGATCTACGTCGGATTTACGCCGGGTTCACGTCGGACTACGTCGGACTTACGTCTGATTTACGTCGGACTGACTCCTGAGCATCGCCGCGCGAGCGTCGACCCATAGGTTATGGAACTGACAAATGGACTAGATCATACACTACTATTACGCGCCGCGAGAGGCCTCCAGGATTTTCCTCATTAGAAAACAGTCTCGGGACGACTTTTCGACTGTTTCCGGCCATTGTTGCTCATGCTTTCCCTATTTTTTCGTTTTTCGCCCAACATCCGCCTGTAGGAGGACACGCCCGACCTGACGCTTGGCTCCCTGCCCCCCCCCTCTCCGCGAGGCGCGCGCCGCAGGGGATGGCGCGAGGGGGGGCGGCACGGCCGAGGAGGCAGGAGGAGGGGGGGGGGCCTCGAGGCCCTCCAAGAGGGCAGGCGGCCTCTCA